ATGACTTGTGCCCAATGTCACATAAAGACAGGACTTCCAGTGGACATGGGGAATTCAGAGGTGATGAAGATGCCTAGCCACCATTAAGAAGCACCAATTACTATCATAGGGAGATACTTGAAGGAGGTTACAACTTTTATTTATCTAGAAAGCACTGTTTCAACTACAGGCGGCAAGGATGAGGATATCATAGCCAGGGTCTGAATTGTAAGACAGACTTCTGTTGATCTGATGTCATTTTGAAGATATGCTACACTCACAGTAAGGGATATCATACAGATTTCCAACATTAGTGTCAAATCAGTTCTTCTCTATGGTTGAGAAACTTGGTACGCGTGTCACCAAAAGCTGCAAATTCTTATCAACAGCTGTCTTCGCCTTATACTGAAGATCAAATGGCCGGCCAGAAGGGAAACAGCAACAAACCAACAAGCAATCTATGACTGGCTCAGCAAATATGCCGAAGGAAATGGAGATAGATTGGATACATGCTGAGGAATCGTGGAAAATACCCATCCGGACATTAGAGGGAAAAGAACAAGAAGTTCAGCAAAGATGTTGATCTTTTCGGCGATTTCATTCTCAAAAGCAACTGTACAATCGCATTTATATAGACTAGTTTACGTGGATACAATTATTATTTATTTAATTCTACATGCTAATGAAGGAGATAATAATTTTCAACTTGATATGAAAGTTGGAAGGTACGAATATAGATTACAAGGGGCTCAGAAGCAACATTGCATAGGATTAGAAAACAGCTACAACGTATGTATAATTAATATTTGATAACTGGAGAAATAATTTTAAAGGCGAGTGAAAGGTGACAATTATTTTCAACTTGATATGAATTACAAGAGGTTTAGAGACAAAAGTTACACAGGGATAGAACGAATTACAGGTTTTAACAGAATGAGCATGGAAACAAATTGAAATCAAAATTTTTAACTTGAAATGTATGTTAGGAGGTGTGAATAAAGATTAGAAGAGGCACAGAAACAAAAAATTACACAGGATTAGAATATAATTGTAAAATGGTTATTCTAAACGGATTACAAGTGTGATCAGGAGGAACATGGAAACAAGCTTAAAATAACTGATTTTATAACTGAAAAAAGCGGGATGAATTGAATGAAGACAAAGAAGGAAAAATGCACACAAAGAGAACAAAACAAAAAAAACTGAAGGATAACGGAGCATACCGGACTAATTCCACGGTAATTGTAAAGGCTGAACTAGTTTGTTTTGAACACATAGCTCCGGCTTTTCGATGCATATGGTCCGAGCTTCTGCAGTACAGAGAAGTCAGAAACACACTGCCTTTAGTAGATTTTAGTTTACTTAGTAAATGACTTTGAGTGATGAGTGAGTTGAGATTCTTTGACAGGTATTGAGGAGGTGTTCAGATATGGCACTTCTGATTGAACCAACACCTCCTCTTTGTAGCCATACTGGATAACGTTCTCTATCACATTTTGATAAGACCCGCAAAGAACGACCTATGTACCTAGCTCCACACGATCACGTGAACTGATATGTACACACTGAAGTGGTCATATATGGAAGTCTGTCCTTCCTGTTGCTCCGAAGTAGTAGACGGCTAGAGAATATCACTCTTAGAGTTGCTGCAGGAAAAGTCTTCTTCAGGGAATTGAAGATTCTCCTTTTAAGCATATTCCTGAATTCCAGATTCTTTAGCCCTGAAGTGCATTCTTCCCCTTCTGGCTTCGGTTTCATGTTCTTCTCCACGAGACACGGTGGGTATCCATTTTGAACAAGGATGCTTTTGAGAAATAGGAGCTCTTCTTCTAAACAGTCATCGCTACAAATTCTTCTGGTACGGTGGGCTAGCGAGATGATGAGAGCTCTTTTACGGCTGATAGGTATCCAACTGTAGAAATTTGTCAGTTGGCCGTTCCATGTTGGTTTTCTATGGATAGATCTTTTCAGAGTTCCATCATCTCTTCTTGTCAATTCGACGTCCAGGAATGGAATCTTTGATTCATTTTCAACTTTCATTGTGAATTTAATTGAAGGATGGCAGTTATTAAACTCTTGTAAGATACACAATGCTGAGTAGACAGTTGAGTGGCATCACACCAGTGGAAATCGAATGGAAGACAGCAAGTTGGGTGTGGCTCCGAGGGTGAAATGGAAGACATAGTGTGAGGAGGAGGTGGAATTCTACGGACAATCGCGGAGTTAGCTGAAGAGGACCTAAGTGAGCAGTATCAGATGGAGATGTGTAGTTGAAACCCTATGTTCCACTTCGAAGGGTAGGGAGTAGAATTAATAATGACAAACCACCACATTCCGTTCACTAAAACAAACGGGAGAACAGATGAAAATGTAGTGGGTAATTTTCCTTAAAAAAAGAAGGGAGAAATCTAGAAGGAATGTTAGAACACACATTTTTGACTTCATTACTGGCAGGTGTTGACACATGAAGTGATGAATTTGCCAGTTCTGTCCAATATTTTAAAACAAAGCAACAAGAAGTATAGACTGTTTACAGGATTTCATCATGAGCTGACATTGGTTAGAGAACCACTAAGGAAACCTGCAGGGGGTATTGGACAGCTGTTTTGTCTTGGTTCGGGACCTACAGAATTACTGAAAACTAGGGGACACTGGATTTTGCTTTCGTACTACTGTAGATTTAAAACTCTTGGATACCTTTCCTAACGCATATTCCACTCTAGATATTGGTTCAGAATCTCATGATCAGGGCTTTCTAGCTTCAACAAATTATCTGCTTAGTAGATAGTGAGACTATTTTAAATAATCTTGGGGTTAGTAGACAATTATAATAAAGGCTTTCTGTATTTCCCAATGAATGGAAAACAAAATGATATCTCTGTTTTTACTGACGTTTCGTTATTCAAAGCTAACCCCATCAGCGCAAAGGTATCAGTTGTTTCAAGTCTTCTTATACGAGCACACTCTTATAACGGATGAGAAAGAAAAAGAAGAAGAAATATCAAACATTACTGAAACTCTCAAGCAAAACAACTACCCATGGAACTTCATCAACAAAATCAACACTGGCATTAAGTATGGTCGAAAACGTATTCCGAAAACATGGACCACAATAGTTGCCATTCTATATAGAGCGGAGACATCAGATGATATCAGAAGAGTACTCAATCAGCTCGACATCAGAGTTTTCTTCAAAACATCAGACTCACACACTGCGAAACAACCTTGTCCATATAAAAGACCAAATCCCTAAGCATTCTCTATCTAATTGTGTCTATAAAATAAAGTGCTTAGAATGTGATGCGATATACATCGAACAAACCTCGCCAGAGGGAAGTCAAAATCAGAAGAAATGAACACCGTCGAGTGAGTGTCCAGTTGAACTAGAAAGGCTTGAAAAATCATCAGCCAGCCATAGCTTGTCTACAAGCTATAGAATCAGGCCACAAAATTGATTTTGACAATATTGAAATCATCATCCAGAAAGAGCATTTCAGAAATCACAAAGAAAGTGTAATATCATCAGAAGCACTTCATATCAAGTGGAATCCAAATTGTCTGAATAGAAATGATGGACTAAAACAGAATCTGACCCCCCTCCCCCATGAAATGACAAAATCAACACGAATGTGATAAGTAATATCATTGTATAAACACACGCTGCTTTATAATTTTACACGCTTATCAAATCCGACAATCTACACTTGGTTTTGTTATCTTTACCAACTGGCCAACCTGACAACGAAAAGTGACCCTATCTGACAAGTCCCGAATAGGACGAAATGGGCATCCTGGATTCCACTGCTAGTCACCATCCACCAATTAAAACGATGATCAAGTTAGTAAACTGGTTTGATGATACCATAACAGATGTACTATTATCTTTGATATTTGGTCCTACCTATGTAAGTGTCACGGCGACTGCAGGTGAACTTGTAGATACAGTTTGAAGTAGAGTCCACAGAATTTCATCCTTTAATCGTAGGTACAAATGTACAAAATGTTCGGCGTGTGCGGGAAAAAGAGATGCAGCATAGAATGTGTGTTTGATGGCTGACCGAAGTGTCTTTGACCTGTCAACTGCATAATTTGGTCACCCTTGGATTAATCACCTATAGCCTAAACTGTGTGTACAAAAAACAACAGACCTCAGTCTTCGCCTACCATGAACCGACTACATGACCTACTTAAATATGATTGGTCATTAGTATGTACTTTTGTGTTTTTTATTTAACCGAGTAATTATCATTATCTTTATTTTATTTAATCATTGTTAATCATGTTAGTTGTAAAGCGGTTGTAAAGATACTAATACTAATGTTTCATCCTAGTTTTAGGAATCATCGGCAGTACGCACCCACCACATGGAGTTCGAACCCAGGAACTTCCTGTTACAAGGTAAGCTCGTATACAATTCAGCCACTGGGACCCCCAAACTCAATGACCATCCCATGAATTCTAACTTCAACCAATGTTGTCGGTGGGACATCCATCCTCACACGAGACTAGATGGACCTCACTGGCTACAACTTCTCCCTAGAACTCCAGGAAACTCCATCCTGCAACAAGTCACCAGCGAGCATCAGATTAAATTTCTATAGTTTGGTTTGTAAGGGCTAGTTTTGTTTATTTACGAGTTTGACCACGGATTGATATCAGTTAGAGAACCATTGAAGGCCAGCATTGGAGTACTGAGCAGACAGCTGTTTCATCCCAGTCTGGGAATCATCACAAATTGGTAGAAGTTAGAATTCACAGGCTGGTCATTGAATCGGGTCCCAGTGGCTGAATGGTATACGTGTCAGCTTGCCTTGTAACCGGAAGGTCCTGGGTTCGAACTCCATGTGGTGGGTGGGTACTGCCGATGATTCCCAGACTACTGGGATGAAACAACCGTTGTTATTATTATATTTACTGTTGTCATTTTTGCTAAACAACATAAATTAATTATTACAGGAGAAATCGGTGTTAAACTCCACGTAACTGACTGCCAACCAATCAACGATGGGGATTATTCATCAATGAATTATTTTCTAGCTCAAGTTCGAGAAAAATTTGAACATGAGATATTTTGTAATGTAAATCTGTTGGAGTTAAAATGGTATTTTGAAAAAGAAGATAATGAATTTGTCAGATTTATACTAGAAAGAATTCAACCTGGTTAGTTTATTTATCGAATTTTGAATGTCTTGATTATTATTAATATTGTTCCCTTGGGTTCCTAGTGGAACATAGGGCTTCAACTACACGTCTCCACTTGCTTCGGTCTTCTGCTGTACTTTTCACTTGCATCCATGTTAGTCCATACTGTTTCAACTCTTCTTCACACGATCTCCTCCATGTCACCCTTGGACGTGGGACACTCGCCGCTCCCCTTTCGGGTTCCACTCGAGCACTGGCCTGACGCGCGATGTCACCCAACGGCCTCCTCAGCGAGTGTCCAATCCATCTCCACTCTCTCCTGCATATTTGTTGAGCGATTGGTTCTTGTTTCGTTTGTTTCTTCCCATAGTTTCTTGTTGGTGATTCTTTCCGGCGGCCATCTGATCTTGAGTATAGAACGAAGACAGTTGCTGTTGATAAAGATCTGCAACAGGCTGTTGGAAATATTCTTTGTGACACACTGGCCAAGTTTCTGATCCATACGTATAGAAGAACTGACTGACTTGACGTTTGTATTGAAAATCCGAATCACTTTGTTGTTGATGCAGGCTGAGTGACGAAGATTTCCAGATTGGTTTCAGGTTGATGAATGTGTTTCTCGCCTTCCCGATTCTCGATTTGACATCTTCGTCCGTTCCTCCTGTAGTTGAGATAATGCTCCCTAGGTAAGTGAATTTAAAAAATCCTCAAGACTTTTACGAAAAAGTTAATTCTTAGAGGTAAAATGGTTCACTCATCTATGAGGATTCACTGATTAATTTCAGTTTCTGAGAATCAGTTTTTAGATTGGTACTTGGTTCGTTTGTGCGTCGGTGGTACAGAGGTAGAATGCTTGCCAACCAGTCAGGTGGTTCGAGGTTTGATCCCTGGACAACAGACGCACTCCTCCATTACCTCGCTAAACCAATAATAAGGAGGGAAGGTTGGACATGAGGCAATCAGCAACCCCTTTCTGTAAAAATAATCACCACTGATATCGAAACTTCAAGCCTCTAGCTGGAAGCCCTATGTTCCAATGGGGACGGAAATAAAAAAACTTGGATCATTTGTGTTATGATTACCGTGGTCTAGTTAAATTTCCATCCATTATTGTTTTAATCATCCACTTATGCTTTTGAATCGCTACATTAACTCGCTCACATTTCAAATTATCTATCAAAATAATGTTGAGGTGAAGATAAAAAGTTGTTGCAAAGTGTTTCTGTTTATAATACAGCAAATATCACAATAGATATCCCAATTATGCAAAAATAAGTCGACAAAACATCTTTAAAACATAATAATTCGTCAATCCAATTTTTAGAGAAAATGAAAAACATTCAAGTAGAAGACAATGAAATAATGGTGTCCTTTGATGTCACAGCATTATATACTTCAATTAGTCCAAAACTAGCAACAGAAACTATGCAACAATTACTCTATAGTGATGAAAACATAAACACGCAATTATCAACTTGGATAGAACTCATAGAATTATGTCTTAGAACATACTTCCAGTTCAATACTCGAATATATGAACAAATAAAAGGAACACCAATGGGATCGCCCATATCAGGATTAATAGCTGAAGCCGTTATGCAAAGATTAGAATTAATAGCTCTATTTATAATTAAACCGAAAATCTGGGTACGTTAGGTTGATGATTTAGAATGCACTCATAAATTAATAAACGACATATTTGAAGACATCAAATTCACAAGAGAAGAATAATTAGATAATAAAATCCCATTTTTAGATGTCTTAATCAGGAGAACCAACACAGGAGATTTAGAAACACAAGTGTATAGAAAATCAACGCACACAGATCAAATACTCAACTATACGAGCAATAATCCAATTACTCAAAAACGAAACTGTGTGCAGACATTGTTTAAAAGAATTCAAACACATTGTAGCACTCCAGAGTTGAAAAGAATGGAAGAAAAATACCTACAAACGGTCTTCAGAAAGAATGATTATCCACAAAATTTCATCAAAAAGTGGAATCAAAACACCAACAAGAAACCATCATCAAAGACCACAAGAAAATTCATTCTACCATACATGAGAAATATCTCTGAAATAACAGCTAGAATACTGAAACCGTTTGAAATAAATATAGCACACAAACCAGTCAAGTCGCTTAATTCGATATTATGCAAACCAAAAGATCCAACAGAAAAAGGGGATAAAATTAATACCATTTACAAAATAAATTGTATGAACTGCAACAAGCATTATATCGGCCAAAGTATCAATGCATATAGACAATTATGGTCATCAATTTGATTGGGATAATGTCAAATTCTTAGACAGAGGAATTCCTAGAAGCCTGGTACTCAAACGAAAATGCAATTCACAAACACTTTAATATAGAGGAAATATACCAACTAATAAAAAGTAAATCAGGTGACCAGAAAGTTTAAAATCCAAGTCAATAGAAAATGGTCAATACATATGTTGTAAAGATAGTTACCAGGAGACGCAATTATATCACTCATGAGGAAATTTAAATCATTTCACTTTATGCTAAAAATTACGCTGAAGATGTTGTTTAGATGGGGGACGACGAAAGCTCCGCAACTAAACCAACCATCTCAGAGAACACTATTAATTGCAAATCATCCGCCTGAGCTACAAATCTTCTCTATTATTTGTTATCGTTATAATAATGGCCAGTTAAGCGGCATATACATTCTTACGTAGAATAAAAGATTAGTAGTTATACTGGGTGACAGAATATATAGTATCTGTGTGACAGAGCTGCTGGGCTGAATTCAGTTACAAAGTACTGTGAATTTGCGAGTCAGTGATATTGGTGATTAGTCACCATAGATTCGTAGAATGTGAGGTAGCAAAAATTGACAAGTAAGTCAGTTCAATTCAAAGAATTTTGTTGAAGAAGCTGTGGCTTACACAGCGAAACGTTCGGAAAAAATCTTGTTTTGATTTTTTGTTTTTTCTTAAACACTATGGGACTATTTTAAATAATTTATAATGAATCAATCTGACTGGATGCTTAAATTATTCCAGGAAATTCGTAACATCTACGGTCTGGAAACTTATAAGTCATCTCAAGATTTATAAAAGGTATCAGGTGGGTGCATGGCTGGTAGAAAGTTCTATTCAGGTAGATAGTTACCTGGGGTTCTAGTTGGAAGTCGAGACCAGTAGGGTGCAGCAGGTGGGGTGAGAGGATGAATACTCGCCGAAGACATTGGATAGCGATCACGCTATGTCGTGAATTGACAGAAGTTGGAATTCATGGACTGGCCATTGAGGAGTCGGGTCCCAGTGGCTTAATGGTCTACGAGTTCGGTTGCCTTGTAACTGAAAGGTCCTGGGTTCGGACCCTGGCGGTGTGTGTGTACTGCTAAAGAGTCCCAAACTGGGCTGACAAAACAGTTGCCTGGCAGTACTCCGTGGCAGGTTTTCCAATAGTTCTCTAACAGATGTCAGCTAATGATGAAATCCTGTAACCAATCAAACAAATCCCTACAAACCAATACCTGAAAGTAGTATGTGTTAAATGGGAGGAGATAGTAAGACTGTAATGAGAGATTCATCATGAAATAACCAATATGTGAAATGAAAAACGTGGAGGCATATATTGCGAAAAGTAATCCACAACGGGAAACTTACAGAATCCTTCGAAATGAGAAGAGGAGTAAGACAAGGTTGCCTACTATCGCCAATGATTTTCCTGATTGCAGTAGATTGGATAATGCGACAAAGAGCGGGCCGGGCAATGAGGAAACAGGCATAAAATGAACTCACACAAAAAACTTGGAAGATCTGGACTTCTCTAATGATATTTGTCTGTCTGATTTCCCACAAACTGGAAGATATGCAAGCGAAAAGCAACAAGTTGGCAGAAGAAGCATCAAAGATAGCACATATTCCAGGTGAACATAGAGAAAACAGAGGTGATGAAAATTCCTGGGCAACACCACCAACAGCAACAACAGACAACAATCGGCATAAATGGAAGGAACCTGGAAGAAACAACCTCCTTTACCTACCTGGGAAGCATCGTTTCAACTGCAGGTGGGCGGAACTGATGAGGATATCAAAGCGGCGAGGATCGGGAAAGCAAGACAAGCTTTCATTACTCCCAAGTCTGTGTGGAGGTCAACAGCATTCAGCATCAAAAATAAGATCCGGATTTTCAACTCAAATGTGAAGTCAGTGCTACTTACTATACGAATCAGAGACTTGGCCAGCGCGTCATAAAGAGCACATCAAAAAAACTACAGACCTTCATTAACAGTTGTCTTCGCTCAATACTTTGCTCAAGATCAGATGGCTGGCCAGAAAAGATCAGCAACAGAGATCTCTGACAATGAGCGAACCAACCCAGCAGGAACCGATTGTGAAACAAATAGGCAGGAAGATGGATTGTCCATACTCTGAGGAAACCATCAAGTGACATCACTAGACAAGCCATTGCTCGAGTGGAACCCGAGAGGGAAGCGGCGAGTTGGTCGTCAGTGCAAGGGTGACTTGGAGGAGGTCATGTGAAGAGGAGATGAAAGCATGTGGGCAGACTTGGAGCCAGGTGAAGACTCTAGCAGAGAACCGAACTCAATGGAGACGCACGGCTGAAGCCCTATGTTCCTGTAGGAATTAAAGGAAACAATAATAATAATAATAATAAGTCCGGATAGTATAAATGGAAAATTCAGCAGTATTGACAGAATGTTTGAATGAAGGGTATAAATTATGACGAATAATAATAATAATTGTAATAATAAGCAAAGAAAAAGAAGAGAAGAAGAAAACCAAGAGGGATAGGGGGAAAAGGTACTCTTGATGAGACGAAAAGACATTAATCCAAGTTTGACCATAGTAGGAGTAGCATCTGGACGTGTTCTTTTTGGATACACAAAGTTCTGGTTTAGTTGCTCTTATTGCAACAGCTTCAACAATGTGTAGGAGACGTAAGTGAACTGTACTTGATAATGAAGTAGGAATTTGGTATATAACCCTTTAGACTATGTCCAGTATCGATCATGCGT